GGTGCCTGGGTGGCTCAGTCAGTTAAGTGTCTGACTTCGGCTCAGGTCATGATCTCATGGTTAACGGGTTCGAGACCCGTGTCGGGCTCTGTGCTGACAGCTCAGAGCCTGGAGCTTGCTTCAGATTCTGTGTCTCCCTTTCTCTCTGCGCCTAGCCCACTCTCACTCTGCCTCTCTCTCTCTCTCTCTCTCTCTCAAAAAGTAAATAAACAAAAAAATAATAATAAAAAGAACACAACAGGAAAAGAAAATGATTCACTGTTTTTAAAAAGAACTTAAGAGAGCTTTCAGGAAAAAAAAATACAGCAATTAAAATTAAAAATCAGTGTGGTTGTCAGAAAGTTTAGTAATTGGTAGGAAATTGCCTACAAGGCAGGCACAGCATATAAGTTTCTTTTTTTGTAGCTACAGGCTACAAGAGTGCAACCATACAGTGATGGCTAGAAAGAGCCAAAAACCCAGCAGCTCTCCCAGTTGGCGGTGATGCTTTCCGAATCTCAAGTGCTGATAAGGACACCACCTGCCAAACAAGCTGCTTAAACTGAGGTGAATTCAATAAAATAGATTATTAGAAAAATGAAAGGAAAAAAAAAAACAAAACAAAAGAGACCTAAAACTTTAAGTCCAAAGTATTTATTATTAGGTTGAAGAGTCACAACATTACTTTGGCAAAAGATAAAAAAAAAATTTCTAAATGTTCACTCTCCATTTTTCACTTAATCTCATCTCAGATCAATGATAAAAACTCACAAATGGCGGTGCTTCCCAAACTTTGATGAGGCACCTGGAGAGCTTACTGAAAATGCAGATCCTGATTGAGTAGGTCTGTGGCAGGGTCTCAGAGTCTGCGTTTCCAACCAGCCCCCAGACAACACTGAGGCTGCTGTTCCCCGAACCTCACTTGACCAGCAAAGGACTATCCAAAGACTCTAAATATGCGCCCGCCTGCTCCCGGTGAGTGGTAACAACCTCCCAGTAAAGATCAATTTCCTAGGCCAGTTTCTCAGGTGCTCCATCCCCCTAACTGACCTACCTGAAATGTGTTCCTGCAGCAGGTCAAATGGCGGGAGAGAAAATGATGGACCTGGGTGTTATATTTAAGGAAAATCCTGAGAATGAAGCATATAGAGTTAGGTGGATGCAAATATGAAAGCGGCATTTTAAAAACTTGGAGAAGGGGCGCCTGGGTGGCTCAGTCAGTTAAGCGTCCGACTTCGGCTCAGGTCATGATCTCACAGTCCGTGAGCTCGAACCCCGCGTCAGGCTCTGTGCTGGCAGCTCATAACCTGGAGCCTGCTTCAGATTCTGTGTCTCCCTCTCTCTCTGGCCCTCCCCCGTTCATGCTCTGTCTCTCTCTGTCTCAAAAATAAATAAACATTAAAAAAAATTTAAAAAATAAAAAAAAATAAAAACTTGGAGAAATAGAATGTAAAAAACATAATAGGACTTCCGGGAGAATTGACTGGAATCGAAGGAAAAAATGTGTCTTTGAGCACAAAAGGTGGACCCAACCTTGAGCAAAAAAATTTTTTAATAAAAAATCACCCAGACACAAAACTACAGAAAATCAAACAATGAGGAAATCTTAAAGGAAACAAGAAAAGACAGATTATTTATATGGGAACTATATTTAGACTGAAAAAAGCATCTTATCAGGAATAAGAGTCCAGAAAGCAATGAAATCTACCAAAAAAAAAAAAAAATTGAGAGGAAATAGCTTTTCAGCCTAGAATTTTATACTCAGCAAAAATCATCATTCAAAAGTGAGGACAAAATTCACATTTTCAGACAAAGACTAAAAATTATTATTCTCAAGACATCTCTCTCACACACACACACACATTAAAGAACGTGTGTTGTTAAGGAGGAAGTTGAATCTATACAGATTGAGTAGGAGATTCAAAAAGCAATGGTAAAGAAAGAATTGGTAAATGCATAGGTCAAACTAACTAAAAGCAAAATAAAAGGAAATTATATGGTAGTATCATTTACATAATTTATCAGGTGCAAAAATCTTAAAATAATATCAAATTGACCAGTATTGTATTAAATTAATAATAATACATTACAGTAAAGGAAGGCTATTATCTGTTTATTCCAGAAACATAAGGATGGTTAATGTTTAAAAGTTGATCCATTCACGGGCTCCTGGGTGGCTCAGTTGGTTAAGCATCATACTTCAGCTCGTTGGGATCTTGCAGTCTGTGAGTTCAGACCCCACGTTGGACTCTGTGCTCACAACTCACAGCCTGGAGCCTGCTTTGGATTCTGTGTCTCCCTCTTTCTCTTCCCCTCTCCCACTCATTCTCTCTCTCTCTCTCTCTCTCTCTCTCTCTCAAAAATAAATGAACAAAAAATTTCTTTAAAAAAATAAATAAAAATTGATTCATTCAGGGTTGCCTGGCTGGCTCAGTTGGTAAAGCATGTGACTCTTGATCTTGGGGTCATGAGTTCAAGCCCCACATTGGGTGTAGGGCTTACTACAAATGATAATAATAATAACTGACTCATTCAATTCACCTAATGGACAGAATAAACAAGAAAACTATGTGTTCACCTAAATTGATGTGAGAAGTGTTTTATAAAATGTTAACCCATTTAGATTGAAAATACAAACTAGAGTTAGAGATGTTATTGGTCAGCTTCCAGTCAGGAGTCAGAAACAACACAATAATTTGAAAAAGGAAAGTTCAGTATAAAAGAGTTATTAACTATATCAGGAGATTAATGAGGGATTGGCTAGTAAGTAGTAAAGAAGACTCTGAAGAATACAGGATAAGCAGTTATAAGGAGGAGCCACTATCCCTTATACTGAAAGCATCTGAGAAAAAGTTCACAAGAGCACAGCCAGGCACACCAGGGCCGTGATCAAGACCTTGTTGGAGAAGCCACCGCCATGACTCACTGGATGGTAGAGAGGTCAAGGAGTTTCCATGCCAGCAGAACTCACTGGAAATCCACCCTCTGGGGTGCCGAGGGACGCCATCCACAGAGAGGTGCCACCACAAAGCAGCTCTTATGGAACACCAGGGGGAAACATTCATGGAGCCGTGCCTCACTGGCAGGCAGCACTCACTCCACTGTGAAGTCACCTGAGAGGATGCTGCAGGAACCTGCTGGCTGCTGGGTGCCGCTGACCTTTGAGGAGCCAGGTGCTGGAGAAGCCACCTGTGTTGTAGGAAGAAGGCACAGGAGAAGCCAGGATTGCTGCAGGAGGCAGGCATTGGAGAAGCTGTATGCACGGCAGGAGCCTGGCAAGAATGACACACTACATGAGGAAGAGAAGCATCTTCCCCTTGCAGTGTCTCTCCATGCCATCTTTTATTTTTTTTAACATTTATTTATTTTTGAGAGAGAGACAGACAGAGTGTGAGCAGGGGAGGGGCAGAGAGAGGGAAACACAGAATCAGAAGTGGGCTCCAGGCTCTGAGCTGTCAGCACAGAGCCCGACGCAGGGCTCGAACTCACAAACTGTGAGATCATGACCTGAGCCGAAGTCGGACGTTTAACCGACTGAGCCACCCAGGAGCCCCCTCTCTCCACACCATCTAATGACAAAGCTGGCAAAGGAGAAATATTTACAAGGTCCATCCCCATTATTGCAAAGCAGGCAATAAAGGATGAATTTGAAGCTGAAAGGCAATAAGCTGATAGCTGCACAAGAGGGAACTTCTTAACCTGATAAAAAGGAAGCAACTGGAAACCTTTGGCAAAACTACTGATGGAAAATTGGGAATATTCCTTTTAAAATCAAGTCAAGAAAAAAATGCATCTTGTTATCACTTCTGTTTGATCGTAAACTGGAAGTCCTCCCAATGCAATGAAAGCAGAAAAAGAAATAAGAGGTATAAAGATTAGAAATGAATAAACACGATTAGCAGGATTTGTGCACAGTGTGATTGCCCACATAGAAAACTTCAAGAAATACACAGATTATTAGAATTAAGACATTCAGCAAATGTGGCGAATACAAATCAATATGTTTTAAAACTACCCATCCTTATATATCAGCAAAACCTAATTAGAAAATACAACTTTTAAGAAGAAAGATACCTTTGGTAAAATTTATTTACATAGGTATTTCAAGTTATTGCTCTCTTTCCAAACATTGGAATGAATAAATTTTAATCAGGACCTAACTCATGATTTCAGAAAGTGGTTTTCCCCTTCTCTCCTTCCTTCCGTCTTTATTTCCTTCCTTCCCTCCCTCCCTCCTTCCTTCCTTCCTTCCTTCCTTCCTTCCTTCCTTCCTTCCTTCCTTCCTTCCTTCCTTCTTTTCAATAGTCTTGTTCACAGAAAGAAGACACAATGTTTTACAATGGTTTATCTTTACTTTTCAAGCCTTATTCTATATGAATGAGTGTGTGTATGTAAATCTAATTGCCATTTCAGATACTGTGCAACTTCCCATCTCACCGATTCCTGGAAATGTCATCTTTCTCTTCACTTTGGTATATGATGTCGTTATTGCTGTTAAATTTTAAAATAGCATGTTTCCAAGAGAGGTAACAGTGTGTTAACCTTAGAGCTTAAACTACTAGTAGTATTGAAGGCACATGTTCAGGTACTAATTGTGTGGCATTTGGTTGCTTCTTTTCAGGGAAACTTTTAAAAGCAGAATATATCCTGAGCAGTCTAATAAGCAACAATGGAGCAACAGGTAAGGTGCTTTCCTATCTTCACAACGACCTTCACCTGCAGTCCCTTCTGGAGTTCTAGTTTACAAGCACCTGAATGACCTAATAGTTGCTGTAGACCAGATGTCTCCAGAACTAGCTAGGACTGACTTTGCCATTAGTGAATGAAGTAGCTTTGGTCAAGGAGCTTATTTCTCTGTGTCTTCATTTTCTGTAATTAAAAATGAAAGCAAAACAGAACAACCAAAGCTCCTAAACTTCTGGGCTTATTGTAGAGTGTACTATCTAAGAACAATATGCTGTTAAAGCAGGTAACTCTGTGGGCCTCAGGAGGGGCTCAGTAGCAACCTTTAGGAGAATTGTAAATGGAGATAAAGTCTGTAAGTTGAGAAAAATATATTTATGGCTTTATGTATTTAAATGGTTTGGAAAGTAAATTTGATTTTGCTATGTATGTACTTTCAGAAAAACTTATTTTGAAATGGATTTCTTTCAATATTTAATCATACATGAAAGGAAGCAAGTACTAATAGTTGGGCAACAAATCATTTATTCCTTCAGATATCTTGTCTGAAATTCTGGGCGTTAAAGACAACAAGTTTCCCAGTAAGTTGAACACAACCTCCAGTAGACTTTTAAGCTCAGTCTGCTTGGATATAAGGTCCCAAGCACCTTGAAACTTGTAGACATTCCAGTGGAGAGGTGGTTTGGAATATCGATATTGACCACATACCCATCATTTGTGTCCACCATCACTAACCTATGATATACACACTTCCATCTTCTACACCACATACACAGACGCGCGCGCACACACACACACACACACACACACACACACACAGATTAAAAGCTGGGGAGAAAATAGGGTGATGTGACAGAGAATCAAGGGGGTATAGTAATGAGTTTGATTCTGTTTTTGGTGTTTGCCCACTGACAGTTTTCAGACCCCAGCCTTCTGCCACCCACTTTGTCCCACAACTGGACAGGCTGGGGCGGGGGGGGAGGGTTGCTTTTTGGTTTGTTTTAAACCTACTCAGCAGTAAACCAGGCATAGCTTGTGGGAGACTTTACCCCAGCCCACACCCTAATCACAATAAAAACCAAAGCCACTCACCACTCTCTTCACACAAGTCAAATGAACCAGCTTGGGTGCCTGTCTCCTCTCCTCAGAAAGACTCATTATGTGAGTACTAAATCTTTTCATATCTTGGGGTGTGTGTGTGTGTGTGTGTGTGTGTGTGTGTGTGTGAGCGTGCACAACCATCAGTCTCAACCTACAAACTAAATTTTGGGTGGATGGAAAGGATCCCACCCTCCATTAGGCAACCACAAGACAGTGGGGTAGTACTATGGTAAATCAATCTGGGGGGCTTGGAGGCAATAGCATTGAGGCTGAGACCTGAAGTAGAAGGAGCTGGTCTCCTCAGGAACCATGCCATGGCAGAGCACAGTCAGTTGGGAGACTTGGAGACCAGACAGGAGTTCAAGTGAGAAGTAGGATTCTCGGTATTCACATACAAGTTCTGTGAAGGCTTGTATGTTATAGCAAGGAGTTTGGACCTTTTGTCAATGTAGAGAAGAGATGTCTCTCAAACCTGTATCACATGTGCTCATGAAGGCTTCGGTGAAATTAGTTTCGTTTTACCAGGCTCTTTACTTGATAACTAGGAGCTGAAACTACTTTTCTTTTTTCCCTCTTTTGTTGTAGGTACCTGGCTGTACCGAAATGAAAGTGACAAGATCCTGGTGCAGTCAGTCTGCATACAGATCAGAGGGCAAATTCTGCAAAAGCTAGGTACGGTCATCAAACATTCGCTGCTCTCAGGGCTCACTTACAAAGTCTGGCTACGAGATATTACTGTGGAATTTTCTCATTGTATCTGGTTCAAATTGCTAATCCTCACTTAGTTTCCTCATCGAAAAGAAAATGACATTTGAGATCCCAGGAGTGTTATGAACATTAATAAAACAAAATATTTTCTGTTGAATTGTGTTAAAGAAATGTATAGTTGTACACTGCGGTATTAACCATAGGATTCTTGGTAATAATTCTGGCATCTGACTTTCAGTTCTACAGGACTCTATGTGATAAGAGGGACACCTTATTCTAAACCACCCTGACACCTTACCCATTCACTCCTCAGAGGGCATTCCCCAGGTTGTAAGGCAAAATTTATAGAATGCTTGTTGTGCTTTATTTTTTTTTCTCTCTTTTATGTTAAGGGTATACCTTAAAAAAAATGCCCTTAAAGCTCCCAAAGGATGGTTAAAAGGAGGGAAAACAAACAAGGAAAAAAGATAATATGGCCAGCAATTACCAAGAGCTCTGCGGTAATAGGCTCAGAACTGTTAGACCTCAGGTTCAGATGGGCCACGAGGCAAGTACACCTGAAATGCGTAGAATGCTAGTTGTGCTTTAAAATGCATGGCCCTACCCTGCTGTTTATGGTCCATCAAGCCTGAGTGGCTTGCCAACAGCCCACGAAAGGGTCTCTGGCACTGTCCCCACAGACAGGGCAACCTGGACATCAGAGGTTCCCAGGAGGGGGTCCTGAGGAGGAACACAGGGCAGCGGCTATGCTGTCAGCTGGAGGGAAGAAGGAACTACTGGGGAGCCACTGGGGGCCCTGTGGGCTTCTTAGACTGTCCCCAAGCCCTTTGCTCACCTGAACGTGGAAGACTTTAAAAAACAACAAAAAGGAAAAATAAAAAGGAGCTGCAGGTGCTCAAATAAATTACTTAATTAAATAAAATGCAAACTAAGGTGTTTGAAAATGTTAGCATAGAATGGTAATTATTCTTGTAAATACTGTATTTAATTATTTTTATGTTAATGTATTATATATGATATATAATATTTTTTTACTGTTTTCCTGTGAAAGGGAAGCATTATCTGTATTAAATCAGCTGGAAAAATTTTTCCAGCAGATTGGCATTCGCTGATTGTTCTCAATCTAATCCAGCCCTAAATTTTCCTAACGGGAGCCAGTGAATCTTCTTTCTGTATTAGTTTTCAAAAGTATTTTCTAGCACAATGCACAGATACTAGCAGTTTGTCTCATCTCTCTCCCTTTTTTTTTTCAGGGATGTGGTACGAAGCAGCAGAGGTAATATGGGCCTCAATCATAGGGTATTTGGCCCTTCCTCAGCCAGATAGAAAGGTGGTTTATCTAGTGCTTTTTTTCCTCTCCTATCCTACATTTGTCTTTGGATGATTATCTCCTTGTGGCATAATGCAGTGTATTGTTTATCAATTTTATCGGTCCTATTTTTATTGATTCTACATGGGCATAGGACCACGAACACTTGGTAATTTCCTCTTGTGTCTTCTCCGTCACCATTTACAGCCAGACTCCTGGCATGTATGTAGTGTTTTCACGTTTATTTCTAACTATCTTTTTTTTTAATTTTTTTAAATGTTTTTATTTATTTTTGAGACAGAGGGAGACAGAGCAGAGTGGGGGAGGGGCAGAGAGACAGAGAAACATAGAATCTGAAGCGGGCTCCAGGCTCTGAGCTGTCAGCACAGAGCCCGAAGCGGGGCTCAAACTCACGGAGAGTGAGATCATGACCCAAGCCGAAGTCGGACGCTCAACCGACTGAGCCAAATCTATTTATATTTTTATTTCTATTATTCATTTATCCATTTCTTTTATTATATATTTAGCCTTTGCCTGATTCCACAGCAAAGTTGAGATAACCAAGCTGCTTATATGTAAAATCATTTTCCCTCCGTTGAGTGAGCAGACTCCAATCCAAGAAATTTGAGAGGCACCATTTGCTTTCCTACTTAATGTTTTCATTCTCTGTACCTCTGTAAGAGTATTCTCCTCATCAACTGGAGCACTGCGTTATCACCTGTATCAGCAATGCCACCGCCTACAACCCTTTTCCCACACAGACAGAATGGGATGCGAGGACGCATGCTTGGGCCAATCCTTTAAGCCTCTAGCAGTATGAAGAAGTTAGTGTTGACAGTCCAGTAAAGCCCAACTAAGAAATAGCTGTGTTTACACTCAGGATCTGATGATCTTTCAAGCCTGTGGCATCCAGTTTAGAAGTATTTCCGCTGTCAGAATAACAAGAAGGAGGAGGAGGGGAAAGAGGAGGAGGAGGGAGAGGAGCAGGAGGAGGGGGAAGAGAGGAGAAGCAGAAGCAGCAACAGCAGCAACAATATTTCATATGGAGGACTAGTCATGGCCTTCAGGCCTTGAGATGAGACCAGTAATGGACCTTGAATTCCTAATCTGTGTTCTGTTTGTATTTTTCTTACAGGGTATTTCCACATCACTAGGTATACTGGCAGACATCTTCGTTTCCATGAGCAAAAATGATTATGAGAAGTTTAAAAACAATCCACAAATTAACTTGGTAATTATCACTTGGTCCAGAATGGCATCACCTACAAAACTGCCAACGTTCTTGGTGCTTGGTTTATCAATCTCATTCTCTTTCCGGGAGTCAGGGAGCACAGTGTCTCCCCTCTTCAAGTAACATGAACAGTCCTGGGGACAATTTCTATGGTGTCCTATTTGGCTTGATTATCTTAGCACCTAGCACAGTACCACACATACAGAGGGTACTAAAAAAATTAAAAATGACAAGTAAAAGAATGAATAAATATCATCAAAGTGATAAATGCTTTGAACCCCACTGATTTCTTTCAGAAAGAAATCAGAAAAATAAACTGAGGTCCGGACAAATTAAGTGACCTCTAATTCAGATTATCACAGAATTCGGTTTCCACACTTGGCCCATCTCAGTGATAAAGTAAAGGGATAACAATTATAAAACTTTAATTACCCTCTGTTCAAATCAGAGCATCTGTCACTTGTCTAGATTCTTATTCTTAATAATGAGGGTTCCTGGGGCGCCTGGGTGGCTCAGTGGGTTAAGCGTCCAACTTCAGCTCAGGTTATGAATTCACAGTTTGTGGGTTTGAGCCCTGCGTTG